ATATATTTTTTTTTTTTTGAGAGGTTTTTGCTATAGGAAGTGTGCACTTGCCAGAAAGACACATGGCTGACCAGTTTGAGTCCCAGACCTGGTGGCTTGCTTTCTCACTTTCCCTTTCTCTGTCTCTCTGGTCAAATTAAAAACTAATAACAACAAATAAAAATAAATAAATCTTTTTTAAAAAAGAGAGACAAAGAAACAGAAAGCAAGAAATCAAATCACTCCCCAAGGGGGATGGCCACCTCGCAATCCCTTCTCCTCCATTCTCCTCTTGGGATCTTGGGCACGCACACACATGCGCCAGGCGAGTTTGAGCCACCGGGTCCAGGACTTGAACCACGGTCGACTACATGGGAGTCCAGCAACACAGCCATTAAGCTAACTGCTGGTCCCTCTATGATCAAATTAATAATAGTAAGTTAAACCCTTCCAGAAAGCAGAAAAGAGGACAATTGATCAAAGATGAGAAAATGGAATCAATCCAGAAACTCCACTGTTCACATTATAAGGTGTTCCAGATAGAGAACACAAGAAATAGTGGGAAAGAAATTATTAAAGAATAATTCAAGAAAGTCTCTCAATACTGTTATGACTTGCAAGACTAAAATATTAGCTCACCTGAGCACTTTGCAGAACAAATCGCAGATTAAGATCACCCTAAAAAGTATCAGGTCACAAAGAAAAAGCAAACACAAGCAGGTTACAAAGCAGTGGAAATTAGTTAACATGTGACTTCCGTTAAGTTTGGTTTTTGGAGTTTTTGTTTTTTGCTATAGGGTGCGTGCACTTGCCAGAGAGAGAGAGAGAGAGAAATCACCCCCCGGGGGGATGGCCATGCCACAATTCCTTCTCCTCCATTCTTCTCTTGGGATCCTGGACACGCACACGCGCCCGGCATGAGTTTCAAGTCACCGGGTCCAGGACGCAAACCACAGTTGACTACATGGGAGTCAAGCGACTTAGCCATTACGCTAACTGCTGGTCCCTCGGCAAGTTTGTTTTTAGGACAAGCACTGCTAAGAAGTTCTAGGAAAAATTATTTCCAAACTAGAATCTATTGCCAGTCAAATGCTCTATCAATTACAATGAGTTGAAGTTCCCAAGATCTCAAAATATTCTACCTCTTACGTGTACTAACATTTATTCAATGAGTACCTATGCGTAGACACTAAGTACTAAGGATACAGCCATGACCAAAGAGGTTCTAATGGGGTTTACTTATAATTTGTAGAGGAAGGCAACCAGCAGTTAGCGTAATGGCTATGCCGCTGAACTCCCATGTAGTAGACCGCGGTTCGTGTCCTGGACCTGGTGGCTTAAAACTCACGCTGGGCACATGTGCGTGCGTGCCCAAGATCCAGAGAGAATGGAGAAGGGATTTCGGTGTGACCATCCCCCCTGGGGGATTTCTCGCTGTTTCTATGTCTCTGTCTGTCTGGTGAGCACACGCACCCTATAGCAAAAAACCTCTGCAAAAAAAGAAAAAAAATTTGTAGAGGAAGACAGTAAAAAAAATGTGGGTCATGGGGCCAGTAGATGGTACAGTGGCTGAGGTGCTGGACACCCACATAGCCAACCAATCATGGTTTTGAGTCCTGAAACTGGCGACTTGCTTTCTTTTCCTTTCTCTTGCTCATCAAAAACAAAATAAAACGAACAATTCTTTAAGAAAAAAATGTGTCAGATGGTAGTAAGAAAAACAGGTTTAGGGGAAGTGTTAGGTGGGCTTGTTTTTGTTTATTGCTGTAAGGTGTATGTACTTGCCAGGGAGGTGGGAGTCGGTAAATCACCCTCAGGAGGGGTGACCACACCACAATCCTCTTCCCATTCCCTTCTTGGTATTTTGGGCATGCATATACACTTAGGCTACATGGGATCCAGCTGCCTTAACCATGCCACTGGCTGACCAAGAAGTTGCTTTAGACAGGGTAGTTAAGACCCTCTCTGGTGGTTAGTTCAACTGAGACCTATAGTGAAGGAGCCAGCCACGTGGATGTTGAGGGCAAGAGGTTCTCGGACAGGACATATCAAGGGCAGTGGCCCTAGTAAGAGCCTCTGTGTAACAGTGACTGGGAAGGGTGGTGGCTGACGAGAGCAGAGAAGTGGCTGGGGGCAGGATCACAGGCCTTCGTACTGTATCTGTCCATTTCCATTGTCTCCAGATCCACTCTCCATCCTGCTCTGCGGCCTGGTACTCTTTATGAACACCAGCAAGCTCCCTGGAATTTGGCCAATGAGGGGCAACAGTAAGAAATGAAAGGGTAAGATCTCTAGAGAATCACAACCATAGACAAAACTATGAGTTGGTGTAAACAGAATGAATGAGATCCAAGGAATGAGCATTTTCTTAGGGAGCTAGTAGGGGATGTTTGACCAAAAGGAAGACTTAAGACATAGTCTGGGGACCAGTGGGTGGTGTGGTGGTTGGAGTGCTGGATGCTCCTACATGGCTGACCACGGTTCAAATCCTGGATCTGGTGGCTTACTTGCTCACCTTCTCTGTCTCTCTGGTCAAAACAAACAAACAAAAATGAATAAAGTTAAATAAATAAAGCTAATAAAATGTTAAAAAAAAAAAAAAAAAAAAAAAAGAGGGAGTCTGACCTGAGGCACAAGAACTACCCCCCTGCACTGATGGTGAAAGATGACCCCAAGTTGTAGGTCTCAAGAGTAACCCATATAGGGACCAGCATATGGTGTGACGGTTACACTGCTGGACTCCCATGTAGTTGACCAGTTCGAGTCCTGGACCTGTCAGCTTAAAACTCACACCAGGTGTGCATGCATGCCCAAGATCCCAAGAAAACAAAGGGGTTGCAGCGTGGCCATTCTGTCTCCCTGTCTCTCCAGTGAGTGCATGTACCCTGCAGCAAAAATCTGAGTCCTGGACCTAATGGCTTACTTTCTCTCAAGTCACATTATAAACATAATGATGAATAAAGTAATATAAAAAATTGTTCTGGGGCCAGCAGATGAAGTAGCAGTTAGGTTCCTAGACTTCCACGTAGCCAACTACAGTTGGAGCCCCAGAACTGGTGGTTTGAAAATCATGCCAGGTGAGTGTGCATCCAAGATCCTGGGAGGAGAATGGAAAAGGGATTGTGGTGTGGCCACCCCCCCGGGGGTAGTGGTGGTGGTGTGTGTGTAATTTCTCACTTTCCCTCTGTCTCCCCTAAGGCAAAAACCTCTTAAAAAAAATTGCTGTGTTTGCTTGCTGCTCCCAAATGCACTTTTTATGGATATATCTGATGCTACACTGTGATAAAAAATCTACATCAGTATTTATTATCAAACATAAAAAAATAAACAATATTGCTACAACATAAAAATCAATCAATAGTCATTCTTCATTTCCTAGTCAGTTCTCACAACTACCAACCTGCTTATAGCTGGTGAACTAGTTTAAAGGCCAGTGAAGGTATGTGATAGATAGGACACTATCTTACCACTCTTCATGGAATCACTCAGCTAAGGCACTTCCCCAACAGAAACGATCCACACACAGAACACTAATACATCGTAATTAAAAAAAAAAAGTACAAAACATGCATTTAGCTAAACGATGATTTTATTCCTTGAATGCACAAATTTATGCAACCAGGGCAGAGGCTGTGGATGACTCACTGAAAAGGAAAAGAAGGACAAGAGAAAAATCAAGATTAATACTGGTCCCCCCATAAACATTCAGACTCTCCCCACTAACGGAGGTACTTACAACAGCTAAATTAAACCCCAACTATATAAAATGCGTCAAACTGCTACGTTTCTCAATCAGCTCACTGCGCTCAGGTATTTAATGAGGACACTCACTCAAGACATCCAAGAACTAGCCAACATAGAGAACGATCTTTCTGGTGGAAGTTGCCCACCACAGGAACTCACGCAAAAATTAACACACACACACACCCACCCACCCACCTAGGAGCAACGTGACATGAAACTCTCCCCTCTATCTAAAAGGTAAAGTGCTTGTTCATGGTCCAAACGAGGGGTCTGCAAATAAGGCCCTGCGCTTGTCTTTGTAAATAACGTTTCCACGGAAAAAGGCAGGCCCATATGACATGTTGTGTGTGGCTGCGTTCCCACTACCACGGCAAAACTGGAAGAGTAGTTAGCCATATGGCCCGCAAGACCCAAAGCATTTATATTTGGTATTTACTGCCTGGTTGACTCCTACACTTAAAAGGTCAATACTTACTATTTCCAATTGGGGGGGAGGACTCGCTTGGTCTTATAATAGCGAGCCAATCGGTGAATTCTGCTCTCAATCAGAATCAGTCGGAATTTGGCATCTTTATCCTGAAATACAATTTGTTACAATTCATGAAAACCTTCCGGAATAAAAAACCAAAACATTATTTTTAACAGAGAAACAGTTACCTAATGCTTGATAATAGAATCATAAACTACAGTTAATGTGTAGTCTTCCAGGATAAGACTAAACAGCAGAACGAGCAGTTGGCGTAATGGCTATGTTGCTGGACTCCTATATAGTTGATGACAGTTCAAGTCCTGGACTTGGTGACTTAAACTCATGCCAGGCTTGTGTGCCCATCCCTGCCCCCAGGGGGGTGAGTCCTCACTTTCTGCTCCCCTTTCTCAGGAGCGCGTGTGCCCTATAGCAAAATAAAAACTTCTCAATTTAAAAAAAAAAAAAAAAGACTAAACAGCAAGTCACAGATGAGCTCTTCTACTGGTAGAATTTTTGCCACTGTAGTGCTTGCTAATTTGTGCTCTAAGCCACCTTAGAAAATGCTAATCAGATGCAAGCAGTTCAACTAAGCACCTGCCCTTTATTTATATTTATTCAGTTTCTCACCTTTCTGTTCCTCTCCAGATGCTTGCGAACAGCAACGGCTTTCTTAATTAAATGGTAGAGATCCTCAGGGAGATCAGGAGCAAGTCCTTTGGACTTAAGGATTCTCAAGATTTTATTGCCCGTCACAAAACGTACTTGTGCAACACCATGTGAGTCCCTCAGGATCACACCTGTAAAGGGAATCACACATTTTTAACACCCAACAGACTGGAGCGTGTGATGTCACAGCTCAGCTATGAAGTCACTTCCCAAGTTCCCTGTGTTAGAGGGGGCCTATCTACTAGCACATCTCCTAGAAACCTACACAAGAATGCAGGTAAACCCCATTCAGACATCCAAGGAGGATTTTACCCAACACTAAGGATACCCTTCTGGTGGAAACTGCAAATGCTGGAAGACCATCTCATAGTGAGTTTGGTGAGATTACTTTAAGTCTGTTTATTGAATAATTAAAATCAACTGGCATTTACTGACAGCTTTTATCAAACATTCCTTGAAAAACTTTACATATACCCTTTTTAAAAATCCCAAACAAGTCCTACTGGACAGTCTATCATGTCATATGTATACATGTGTGTGTGTGTGTGTCACCTCCGCCAGACTTAAACTCTAGGAAAGCAGAGATGATGCCTGTCCCTCACGAGTGTATTTTCAGGGCCCAGAACCATGTTCAGCACACAGCAAGCAAATGTTTGCTGAATGAAACCATTGGCACTAAGTCACACACAGCTGAGATCCAAACCACAGCGGAGGGTGATGAAGTGCTGAGCACCCTGCATAGCCAATCCCAAATCTTCCGCCTGGTAGATTTGCAATCTGAGACTACTTAGGTGCACGCTGCCTGTTTCCTCAAATGCAAAATGGGTGTGGAGGGGTGTGAGGCTGGGCTACTAGTATTTACTTAAAATGTACTTTAGAGGGCGCCTAGTCCACAGTTATTGCTCATTAAGTTTTGGCAAGAATTTTATTAATTCTCCAGCCTATTAAATAAAAACCTGAAAGCTCAATTAAGGTAAGGCCTACAGTCCTCAACAGCAAACTAGAAAAAACGCAAGATGATTTCCTAAGCGTGTATGAGGCACGTTTCCTATCCGTGGAGTCCCACAGGGCATGAGCGGTCTCCGTCAGGCACAAGCCACTCACCGATCTGTGACGGAGTCAGACCCTTCTTGGCCAGTTTGTGTGTAAATCTGCGCCTCCCCGTCGTCAGACGTAAACTTCAGCCACTGTTCACGGGGCAGAAAACCGCCTTAGCTGGGAAACCAAGGACCGTGCCGGAGCAGGGCCGCCACTCCGCCCTCGAAGACGCGCGCTCCTCGTGCACCCACGTCCCCACACGCCCCGCTGTGCCGCTTCACCAGGCGACCAATGCCACCCCATTCCCGGCTTCAGCCCGGTCCCCGCGCGCTACTCACCGTGGGGACGCTGCGGCGATAGGGCAGGGCCGACTGGGACAGGCCCTTCCTGGGGACAGAAGTCTGGGGGTGAGGCGGTGGCCCGTGCCGCAGCAGCCCGGAGCATCAGCCCCTGAACCCGCTGCCCACACGCGCCGCCTCCCCGCAACCCCGCCCGGCCATCCCGCCAGGCGCCCCAAACTCACCCGGGAGCGTGCATGCGACCCATGATGGCGGCGGTCTGGCAGCAAAAAGAGAGCGAGCGTGGAAGCGGCGCAGGAAGCCACCCAGCACGCAGGAAGTGACCTCACACGGCGGCGCTTCCTCGTCGCGGGAGGCGGGGCCACGCCGCGCGGCCACAGCCACCGCGAGACTCTATCCCCAGGTGC